GGTCTTTCTATTGCTTATACTATTACCCCTTGCCCTAGTTTGCTGTGGCTAATACTTCTGCTTTTAAATGCTGTATGATTCTCACTGAAGTTTTCCAATGAGAAACACCTGTGTAGAATTTGAAAGGCAGAAGTGAAGCCAAATATGTTATCTCAGGAGAAGCCACCAACCACATAAACACTTTGCAAACCTCCCCACTAGCTCTACCACATTTAAGGCAGCCAGAAGCAGTAACTTCTCAGACATTCATGATCTTTGGCCTCTCCACCCACCCTGGGGCTTCAGGATGTATTGCCAGTGACTCCCTCTATGATCCACCAGTCTTTCATACATTTCACTGCTCAGACTGCTTCCAAATTCTTGCCTTAATTTAAATAATTCTTACTCTCAAATAATTATGTTTTCCTGACCAAATAGATTGTTACAATCCCTCAGAATAATACTATGTTTTCAAAGTCTAAAAATCTCAATCAACATGACTGTATTGGTTCCATGGTTCATTGGTCCTATCATTTCGTCTCAGTGAAAGAGTGATTTTGATTATATTTTAAAATATTTTAGTAAAGGAACTCTGATGCTTAAAAATATCAAACAGATGGGACAACTGGATATCTACATGGAAAAGAATGAAGTTGGACCCCAACTTCATACTATATACAAAAGTTAATTCAAAACAAATCAAAGAACTTAATGCTAGAACTCTAACTATAAAATGCTTAGAAGAAAATATGGGTATAAATATTCCTGACACTGGGTTAGGCAATGGTTTCTTAGATATAACAATGAAAGCAAAAGCAACCCCTCCCCAAAATAAAGTTTCATCAAAATTTAAAACTTGTGGGTCAAATGACACTATCAAGAAAGAGAAAGATAATCCACAAAATAGGAGAAAATATTTGCAAACCATATACCTGATAAAGGTATTATATCTAGCATATACAAAGAATTATTAAAACAAACAATTTAAAAACATGCATGGCAAATGAATAAGCATTTCTCCAAACAAGATATACCAATGGCCAACAAACACAGGAAAAGAGGATCAATATCATTAGTCATTAGAGAATGCAAATCAAAACCATGAGGTGCCACTTCACACCTGTTTAGATAGCCATAATAAAAAAGATGGAAAATAACAACTGCCAATGAGGAAGTGGAGAAATTGAAAGCCTTGTGCATTGCTGGTGGGAATATACATGGTGCAGCTGCTTTACAAAAGTTTGGCAGTTCCTCAAAAAATATTAAATTATCTGATCTTCATGACACAATTCCATCCCTATACATATACCTAAGAGAATTGAAAACATTATGTCTACCAAAAGAAAAAAAAACAAAAAACCTTGTTACTGAGCATTCATAAAAGTATTATTTATAATAGCTAAAAAGTAGGAGCCCAAAGAATTTCATACAGTGAAGTATTATTCAGCCATAAAAAGGAATCAAGTATTGATATGTTACAACATGGATGAGCCTTGAAAACATTTTCCCTGAAAGAAGGTAAACACAAGAGCCCACATATTGTATTATTTCATTATATGAAATGTCCACACACATACAGACAGAAATTACATTAGTGGTTACAAGGGGACTGATGAGTGCTGAAGTGTATAGGGTTTCTTTTTGGGGTGATGAAAATGTTCTGGAGTTACTGGTGATGGTTTTACAAAATTGTGAACATAAAAATCCACTCAATTGAACAGTGTTAAGGGTCAATTTTATGGCACGTGAATTATACATAAGTAAAACAAAATTCTAATATATTTACATTGAATTCAGGAAAACATTCCAACCTAGTGGCTCTGGCCTGCAAGACTTTGGAGATAGGGTGCCCAGTATCCACTGCAACAATGAAGATGAGATGATGCTGGCAATGATAATGGCAAGAAGGGAAAGAATTTGAGAGATACTTTTAAGGGGAAATGATTATATTTTTAACCAGAACGCCAGTTACTTTTAGGGCAGCAATAGGTCTCCTGCCTCCCCATTCCAATATTTCAGTTCATCATCTTGTATCAATCCAGTTCTTTCACTGAAGTAGATACAAAGGACCCATTTTCTTCACACTCATAGAGCGCCTACTTTGTACCTATCATTGTTCTATGAACATTTTTACGTCATAAAAATTTCAAAACAACTCCTTTGTCTATGTATCCTCCAAATTTTTTAAACAACTATAGAGAAGAAGGATAAATTAAATATATAAATTGACTTAAAAGGTGTAGGGAAAAAAGTGGTAAGCAAAAATTTTATAACAAAATAAAAATGAATTTTAACACAGTTGGAAAGGAACCATGAACCATAAGGCTTACTACCATAATCTCAAATCGAGATGTTTTATAGCCTTTGAAAAATTACTTTCCTAGTAAAACTACTAAATCATATTTATTGTCTAATAAACATCTCTACACATTTTCATGAAACTACTGTACAAAT